CCGACCGTGAATCTTTTCCAATGACAATACAATATCTCCTTCACCTCTAATTAAATTAAAAAAAAAAGCACACAGGGAAGAGAGGGAGTCAGGGCGTCGAAGATACTCAAGCTCATGAAGTCTGTGGTCCTGCTGAATTCAGTGGGGAATTCTTGTCATCCGTTGTGTATTTATATACACTCCAATTTATTCAGGACTGGTGGACCGCCAGGCTAGGTTTTAAAGGAACTCAGACACGACGATACCAGGTGAAAGGTTAAAATACTATTGCATGCCAGTGAAATGCTAAGCGCATGAATTAACGCATCTCTCACAGCTGAGGGCAACAAAGCACGTCTTTAAGCTCTGGTGGGTTTGCACCGAAGCTTTCGTCAACGCCCGCCGAGCGCGCCCACAGGTCTTCTCCCAAATGGCACAGGGAGAGAACAGGCATTGTGGTGCTGGGGCTGAGTACTGTCTTCTTTCAGCGTATCCTTTGGCGCTCATGTGAACCAGACACTCACCGTTACCCGAACGCCGGCTATTAGACTGCGGGATGCTCAAGTAAGACTAGTCACCGACGTGATCCTTCGGCGCGGTTTGTAAGTACTCAGTTTCAGCGGTCTTCCCTTACTCTCCTGACTCCGTGGCACATCCCCAAGGAGCCCAATAGGTGAGTTGTCCAGCTGAGATAACTTTCTATCGCTTTCAAATCTACTTCATTTGAACTGCTACCTTTGCCTCGGCCAAGATGAAGTTTCAGTTAGAGGATAAACTGTAGTGAACTGCTCCAGTTTGCCCCCCCGGGTTGACCAGGCGGGCAACAGACACCACAAAAGCAAGCTAACACGACTGTCCATAAATGCGACAGCCGGACCTGTAAATGAAACCGTGAGGACACTTCATGAACCCTGCATCATTATAGAAGAAGTCAAATTAACCTAACCTTTGTAAAAAATAACATAAAATAACAATTCTCAACTGGGATACTTACAGGGAATATATCAAAATAGAGAACCACTGCCCTCCTACTATTGACCATGGTGAGGCTGTGTTAGAAGAGGGCAACTGTGAAATGTGCACGCAACAACCAGGTGAACAACAGTGGTGAATCTAAAAAATACAAGCATCTGTATACAGCTGTGGCAAGTACATCTTCTGCTAGAACGATAACAAAGACAATAAATAAGACAATAACATAGATATATTGTCAGAATTCTCTTTAATTCTTTCTCTCCAAATCCACACACAGAACACACACAAACACAAAACAGACATACATAACAGAAGACAGACACACCACACACACACCACCACCCACCACAACAGACAGACCACTACACACCACACGACATATGCACCAGCAACACACAACATAACACACCCACACACACAGAACACCACGGTTACACAACACACAGACATGCACAGACACACACACACCTCACACAACAACACACCACACCCACGCCTGGCGCCCACACACACACCACACACACACACCCACACGCACACACGCACACACACACACGTATCATTAGGTATGTGACTGGGAGGTTTAATGTGCTGTGACTTGCCTTTCCTTCCTTATGTGGTCCTCTTTTTTTTCCTGTTCCACACCTGTGCTCCTGGTTCAGGTATGACTATGCAGGATGTATTAGATAAAGATTACGGTTACTTTCAACATGTCACTTTTACTTATTGTGTAATTTACTCACTACATCAGGTGTGATTACCCACCACCTGCCAGGTAGTGCACTAGACAATGTATCACTGTTTTGATGTGGAGTTTGAAGAGAATTTCAGGTTCAAGAGTAATGTAAAAAATGTGGTAATAATAAACAGGCTAACTTTATTAATATATTTAAAGAGTATATTATAGTTATAATCTTTATTTAACTGCTAGTGTTGCTGAGTCATGCAGGGAATGAAGATTTGATGAGATTTTGAGATATTCTCTTCTGAAAAGCCAGCTCAGTGTAATTGAGGTGAATGGAATTTTGTCTGTATGGCTCGCAGCAGTATAAGAAATTACATAGCCCGAGCAAAAGCTTTTTGCTCGTACTTTTCCAGGCTCGTAAAAACTATTTTTTTATACTGTGGCATACTTCTTTCACTGCTTTACTGTAGACTGAACGTACTGTGTGATCAATCGATCAATCACTGTTACCTCCTGAGCTGAGTCAGACAGATAAATAAGATGTTAATGTTCTTGAGCGCAAGTGTAAAAAATTGACACGTAATGAGTGTTATAGTAAATCAAGATCAAGATGCATAAATCACAAAGATGTCCAGATTAACTCTACTTGAAGTATCAGCAGTTTCTTGAAAGTCTAAATGTTGCCTAATATTCACATTAATATGCATATAATTTCAGTATACAGTATTTCTAGTATATGGCTGGACCGTGTATGGTCAGCTACTAGTGTAGTCCAGGATATTGAATGTTAACCGATTTGAAGTATATCACATGACATGTTTACGTTTGAGTCAAAAAATGGTATAAATTGCCACAACAAAACTTTCCACTCATATTTTAAGATGTTTGATTTGAAAACATATAATTACAACTAATTATCTAACCCCTGTCTTTTCGTACCCATCACAAGATGGTGCAAGATGTAGTAATACATGCTGTTATTGTAAAGATCGGCCGTGCGTGTACGTAGAAAAGAGCAGAGGAGCAGAATCTGTTGTTGACCGGTGCAGAGAAATCTGCTTCTGATATCAACAGCCAGCATCGTTCACACCTATTCATTTTATAAGAGCAAACGGCCAATCAGGAAGCTCCAACACTCAACAGGACCAATGGTGTAACTTCATCACAGTCAGTAACTCAGTAAGTCACAGACTATCGTGGTTGTAGAGCTTGGCCTGCTTGCGGTGGCATAAAATGGTGCTTGTCAGGTTTAGAAAATATTGATAAAATGTATTAACTTCAGGAACATAGTTGACAGTCCTAACTCATTAAATAATTCTCCCACGGGAGATCAATAAAGGAACATCTTAAGATGTTTTTTCTTTTCCCTGGAAGTTCACTGTTCATAAAAGTGTATTATGTGTGTCTGATGTTAGCAGAGTCTCTTTATTTTGGACAAAGCACACCTCAGGAAACCCTGAAAGAGAGGTCATTCTCAGGATAGTCTGCAGTCCTCAGAGGGACTGTTGCTTCTATAGTAGTACCTTCAAAAGTTCACAGCTTTAAACACTAGATCTGAAATTTAATTGACCCACACTGTCTTTCAGAAACTGATATCTCTGATTTGTTTCTCCTCAGGTGATGCTACAGTGACCATTGCCCACAGATGTACACCGAAGGAACAGCTGAAGGAGCTAACCAGCCTGGCTGACATCATTATTGCAGCTGCAGGTAATTACACCCAACACACCAATAAGACACTGTCTATTCTTTTACAGTTTAAGAATGGACACATAGTCCTTCAGATTGATTAATAGTACACAATTATGCATAAAGTTTCACTATCAGTCACCTTTGGGGCGACAACTAACTATTATTTTAAGTATGAATTAATCTGCTGATTTCTCAGATATTTTTTTGGTCTATAAAATGTCATAAAATAGTGACAAATGCCACAATCACAATTTCCTTTACATCCAAGGGGACGTCTTCAAATGTCTTGTTTTGCCTAACCAACAGTCAAAAACTCAAAGATTTTCAGTTTACTATCACATAAGGCAAAGAAAAGACAAAATTCCTTAAACAATATTAAAATAGTTGATGATTAATATTTTGGATCAGCTAAAACATTGATCCAATAATTGTGTCAGCTGTAATCAGTGTATCCCCAGTTTGTATTCGGCAGTACTATCTTCTTATTATGTTATTGATAGTTGGGACCGATACTGAAATGATGCCCATTGCCCAGTTTATTGCACCTTATTGTAACATAGAACATTAGTTTGTAATATAGAAGTGCATCCCTGTGGGTTTTTATACATTTAATCTGTGACAGACAATTAAATTCAAATTAATTATTATTTATTATTTGTATTGTTGTTGTTTAACTGGAGTGATGTGTTAAAGGTCCAGTGTATAGGATTTAGGTAGGATTAGCAGTGAGACTGCAGATTGCAACCAACTTAATACCCCTCGCCTCGCACGCCCCTTCCAAGCGTGTAGGAGAAACTGGCTGAGAAAAACTCAAAAGGCCATATCTACAGCCCGTGTTTGGTTTGTTCTGGTCTAGTGTAGAAATATGGCAGTTTAACATGGCTGACTCTGTGATGGTTATCTCTAGATAAAAACAGCTCATTCTAAAAACACAACAATTATTATTTTCAGGTAATTTTAATTACTTGAGTATAAATATTATATTGCATTTTTTTTTCTACTTTTTATGGTGTTACTGAAAGAGCCACTGAGTGCCAGGTACGATTTCATTATGTTGGAACTGCCATAGAGGGAATTATATTGCATGGTAACGCAACCAGGAGGACAGATTGTGAAAGTGCTTACCAGTCCTCACTTGAAGTAATCTTATCTAAATAAATAATAAACAAGGAAGTTTCAGTGTACCTGTTTCTCTGCTCCAACCGTCATGGATTACGATTTTTTTCGAGGAACGGTAATGATCTGCGGCAGCTGGAATGTGAGGCAGTATCTTTCGAAAGACTCTTATGGGCTTTTTTCTGATGACTAAAATTAGCTTTCTGGGAAGGGAACCTTTTAGTTTGGTTTTTTGGAACTAATGAACTGTATCTATATTGTACTGTATGATTAAGTGAATGTCAGCAGTCCAGCGTACAACTATCAAAAGTATATGTTGGGGATTTAATTGTTGTAATTGCAGTTATTGTCCTACTAATTAAACTCAGTCTGGGTTAGCGTGTCCCTGAGCTCCTCTGATGTCTGTGTGCTTTATATGAGCAGTGGTATTTTCTAAAACTGGTTCTTAATTGTTATTTTACTCAGACATTGTTAAGTAGCTCTAATTGCAGTCTGAGGAGTTCAAATTGACAACCAACTTCAAGGTGGAGTGATTATCAACATAAATATACAATGCTTAATTATTTCCTTCCTTGTAGACAGTCAACTGATCTATCATCTTATTCTGCTTTGCTGCCTTTTAAGTCTGAGGCGAAGAGGTATTTGTCACGGAACCTGTGATTAAAAGGAAACGACAAGCATCGCTGCAGAAAGGAAAGGACAGCTGGCTGTTCAGTGACTTTGATATGAAAACATAATAGAGCCTGCAGGACTTGACCTTCTATCCTAAAATGGGTTATTTACATTGGTTCGATGGTTGAGATGGGAACGCCATGGTGGCTGCAGTCTCTCAACTAACCAAACAAACAGTACTGAAATAGTTTTTTTTAGCTTGTCGGAGACAAGATTATTATAGTTAACAAAAACTAAACTAAAAACTAAAAGTGTGAAAAAGCATTTTAGTTAATAAAACTAGAAAACGAACTGAAACAGAATTGTGTACTTACAAAACTAAAATCTTTAATGTCTAATATCTAAAATGTCTTTAGTTTTAGTCTTTGCCAATTTGGTCATATTTCTCAACACAAGCATGGAGGCATTGGTGCATGTTTGTTGAAACTGGGATGTCTACATGACTGTGGGTCAGTGTGTTTCTATTTTAATACCTATTCTGAACTTCTGAAATCTTGCACCGACCAATTCTCTCCATATTATAAGAAAAAAAACTAAAACTAAGACTGAAACGTATGAAAACGAAACAAAAACGAAAATGTTTTAAAATGGACTGAAACTAGCAAACCAACTCCGGAAACTAAACTGAAATGAAACTGAATTAAACTTAATAAATAACACAAGCTTGACAAGCAGCAGGAGGCCATCCATCAATAAAGTGTCGCAGGTTTGTAAACAAAAATTCTGCTGAAAAATGAAACACCTCAGGGCTCCGGTTCACTGATTTGGCTATTTTTTGTAATTTGATTCATTTTAACTTTGGGATTATACAGCACTACAGCATCAACAGACATGATAAGGGTCAGAGGCGTCTATGCCGGTTTATTACCTGATCCTGACATGTTGTCTTGAAGAACCGCCCTCGGTCAAAATGTAGTTTTAAGATCTAAATTATTTCAGATCATATTTGGCTTACAACATCCATCTTTAATTAACTTGTGTTTAATCACATTACCACAATCCCTTGGACCCCGGCACCTCAGGTACTATGGTGTCATTGAAGTAATTTTCTTTCCTTGGTTCCTGTGCATAGGTGTGCCGGGGCTGATCACAGCAGATATGGTAAAAGAGGGCGCAGCAGTTATCGACGTGGGCATAAACCGCATCAAGGACCCAAAAACGGGGAAACTCCGGCTCATCGGTGACGTGGACTTTGAGGGTAAAATAATCCAGAAGTCCATTACAGTTTCTTTAGAAAGGGAGGTGTCTGAACAAAGCTGCAGCTTTTATATAATTTCTAACAACTTTAACTCACACAGAAAAAACAAATTATAATATATATATATATATATATATAT